GATGATTAAATAGTACATACGTTTTTTTTTTTTTTTATGTGTGTGCATGTATGTGCGTGTTCTTGGGGGGGCACATGTGTATGCATACTCGTGGAGGTTAGAGAAATGGCGGAACTCACTGCATTTTCTCTAGCTGACTTTTGCTTTAGCCTGTGTTTTTGCCCAGCCTTTCCCACAGCCAGGCAGAATGTCTCATGCAGGCAGTTTCAGGGAGTGCAGTTTCTACAATATGGGAAACTTAAAAGCAGCCAGGTAGCTTGTCCAGGTAGCACGTCCTCCCTCCCAGCTATACCTGCATCTCTATGGAGCCCATCGAGAAACTTTTTTTTTTCTTAATGAAAAGTTTTTGTTAACTGAAAACCTCTTTGTTAACTGACCTTCCTCTGGTCCGGTGTAACTATGGTGATCTGATGTGATTATGGTTACTGGCTCTGCCCCTGACATGATGTAATTGTGGTTTTAAGCTTCATAAACCCTACCCTGCTTCTCCTCGGGGTCTAGAGTTCTTTGGGGCATTATCACTCTCTCTAACCACTGGCTGTTAATAAAGGATGCCTAATTCGACCCTGTGGCATTCCTCTGTGCATCTTGCTCGGTATTACAGTCAGAGGACAACCCTGAGTCTTGTTCCTTAGGTGTCACCCACTTTTTTTTTTAGAGTCTCTCTCTGGCCTGGAACTTGCCACATAGGCTGGTCTAATTAGTGAGCTTCAGGGATCCACCTGTCTCTGCCTTTCTAGCATTAGGATGATAAGAGTATGCCACCATTCCCAGCTTTTTAAAATTGACATTGCTTTTTGGGGATTGAACTCATGTCCTCATGCTTGACTACCTGAGCTATCTCCCCAGCCCAAGTGGTATATTTAATATAAATCGCTGTAATATTTTATTTTACAATAAGCAAAATTGTGACCTAGTTAGTCATTTTAAATGCAAAATTGATACAAGTTTAAAGCCAAACAACAATGGTAAACCATTATCCCGTCCCCTGCCTCCCACCTGACACTGGAGTACAGTACAGCAAGGGATCATTCTCTGAAGGACTGGTTTGACTCACGTAGTGAACGTGTTGTTTGCCAGTTTCACAGGTGGCTGGCTATACAGTGTGCTGAAGGTCAGAGCTGCATCAAGACAGCATGGTGGTAAGTTCTGTCGGGGCGTGTTCAAGGGTGGGCTAGCTGTGCCAAAGAGGCCAGGCATTCCATATTCCCACCCGAAGAGTGGACATACAATGACTCCTGTAAGTGCGCATTTCCTCTTTCCGTCACTGCTTGGTTCCTGTAATCTGCAGAGTACTTGCAAAACAAAACTCCTCATGAGTATAAGAGGGGAACTGAAACAGGCAGGTCCTGTTCTGATTCCCCCAGCCACATGGAGAAGATGCCCCTGGTAACTGTTAAAAGGACGAACTTCGAAAATGATAGACGATCTTAAACTGGGATGGAATAAAATAGAGATTTAAACAAAATTTTATTTATTTGTTTGTTTTTATTTTATGTGTATGAGTGTATTGCCTGCATGTATGTAAGTACACCCATGTCGTGCAATGCCTGTGGAGGTCAGAAGAGGGTGTCAGATCCCCTGGAACTGGAGTTACAGATGGTTGTTAGCCATCATGTGGGTGCTGGGATTTTGAACCTCCATCTTCTGCAAGAGCATTCAGTGCTCTTAACAGCTGAGCCATCTGTCCAACTCCTAAAGTAAGATTTTTTAAAATTTAAGTTTCAATACAACTCTTATTTGGGTGGCCTGCTTTTAAGGAAAACACAAGTCTGTTGGGTAGACTAATTTTGTAAGGTTGTTTACTTTTTTTTTTTTTTTTTTCCAGTCTTTTTGAGACAGGGGTTCCTTGTAGCCCCAGCAGGCCTGGAACTCGCTATGTAGACCAGGCTGGCCTCAAACTCACAGAGATCCACCTGCCTCTGCTTCCCAAGTGCTGGGATTAAAGACATCCGCCAACATGCCTAGCAAGGTTATTCACTTAAAAATTAAAAAAAAATTTATTTTATGTATATGAGTGTTATACCTGCATGTATGTAAGTACACTTGTATCCTGCAGCACCCACAGAGGACAGAAGAAGGTGTTGGATCCCCTGGAACTGGAGTTAGGGATGGTTGTTAGCCATGTGGGTGCTGGGATTTAAAGCTGGGTCTTTTGCAAGAGCAACCAATGTTCTTAACTGCTGAGCCATCTCTCAAGCCCCAAGGTTATTCACTTTTACGTAACTGACCAGCAGTGACCATCTTCTGTTCACTCTGACACCTCGCATGCCACTTCCCACTTCTGGAAATATCAGTACAATAACAAGCAAGTTCTTTTAGCAAATCCTTTTAGGGAAAAGATTTCATTTATGTGAATAGTGCTTAATGACCTCCTAGTCCTTAGTCTTGAGACAGCATCCATATATAGAAACTTAATGAAGTAAGTCATTCTGGGTATTTGTGCTATTTGGATCTTGTCTTTCCCCAAGGCCCTTATCTTAAAGACTTGGTCCCCAGGGAAGCACTATTGGAATGTGCTATAACTTTTAAGGGGCAGGATCTCATAAGAGGTTTTTAAGATTCTGAGTGGTTTTGCTTGAAATGTGTTTCTACCATGATGTGCTGTTTTGCTCACGGTAATCAGTCATCTGATCATGGATCAAAACCTTGAAAATTTAGCCAAAATAATTTTTTTGTCTTTGTAAGTTAATTATTTCAGGTATTTTCTTACAGTGAAGAAAAGCTAACAGGAATGTCTTCTAAAGAGCACAATTCCAGAACCAATTATGTATGTTAGGCAGCAATTCTATAATTTTACAGAAACCATTTTACATCAATAGAAACATTAAAACATAAGATCAATATTTCTCATGTTTATGCCTAGGGCTATCTTTTTCGATAATGATCAAAACTGTCATTTACATAGAGACATACTCTATCTTGATAATGCTAGGGAACAGATAATGACTGGAGAATGTCAAGGTCAGTGTTTTAGGGTCAACATTTACCCCTAGGCAATGTAATATTAAAGCCACTGGTATACCTTACTAGTGACCCAAGAGAGAATGAATCCCTTGCCCCCTTTTTGGTCAACAAATAATACAGGAAACACTTTGTTGTATTTTTTAAAAATTCTGTTTGTTATTTTTATTTTATGTGTATACTTGTATTTCCTGCATGTATGTAAGTGCACCCATGTTGTGCAATGCCAGAGGACAGAAGAGGCTGTCAGGTCCCTTGGAACTGGAGTTACAGACAGTTGTTAGCTGCCATGTGGGTGCTGGGATTTGAACCTGGGTCTCCTGCAAGAACAGCCAGTGTTCTTAACTGCTGAGCCATCTCTCCAGCCCCCTGTTGTCTGTATTTTTTAATATCTTTTAAAGATTTATTTTAAATGATGTGTATGGGTGTGTGTCGGTGTGTGGGCATGTGCACGTGAATGCAGGTGCCCACAGAGGCCAGAAAAGGAAGTCAGAGCCTCAAGCTGGAGTTCCAGGTGGTTGTGAGCTGCCCAACATGGGTGCTGGGATTGAGCATGGGTCCTCTTGAAGAGTAGTACATGCTCGTAACTCCTAAGCCATCTGTCCAGCCACTAAATCTCTTTTAAGTTGGAGAAGATAGCAAACATAAGGGAAAGCACACAACTCATAAGTGCATAGCTCATGAATGCTACAATGTCAACACACTTCAGTTCAGGAAAAATAGTATCGCCTGGCTGGTGAGATGGCTCAGTGGGTAAAGGTGCCTGTCACCCAGCCTGCAAAACCTGTGCTCTATCCATGGGATCCACATTGCAGGAGAGAATCAGTTCTCCGCAAGTTGTCCTCTGACCTCTGAATTTGTGCTGTGGCATGTATACCCACCCACCCTACATCCACACAGAAGTAAATGTCAAAAATAGTAAAACTAAAGAACATTCTCAGCCTTACCTGCACAAGGACCGTCAAACCACCCCTTCCCTTACTGCTCGGACCCTTTACCCTTCTCATCAAAAGAGCTGCTGTCTTGACAAGCTAACAGGATTAGTTTTGCCTGCTTTGGAATTTTATGTTGCATATATTCTTTAAGCCATTTTAATCAAAGCTTCTGGAAACCATTCCTTTTGTAACATCCCATTTCAGAGGTAGAGTAATTGTTTCTCTGTAGGTAACTGTCAGGTAGATGAATGGCTTGCTCTATGAATCAGTACCATAAAAACTTATTTTTAATTTACAGATTTACATGAGAAGTCATCACCAGGAGTAACATTAGGGCCTTAAGATCTAACACACTCAAACAGATGAAATTATTAAGAATAAAGATAAACGAGTGCTGAAAACTTTCAATTCGTGAGGATCTGTCTTTCCCTGTTCTGCTCCTTCTCTCCTGATAGTAGGACTTTAATCTTCAGGACACAGCAGCATGCTGTTGATTATTTAAGTTCTTTTTCTATTTGCTTGGTCTCTTGTTGGATTTTTTTTTTTCATCTAACAGAACACGTATTTAATAGTTTACAAAAAGACAGGATTCTGGAGGCTGTCTATTTAGTACAGCACTTGTCTCATATGTGCAAAACCTGGGTTCTATCCAGTGTGGGGCAGGGAGGGGAGGAGTTCCATAATATGTAGAAAGTATGATTCTTTTTCTTTCCCTCCCTTCCT